AAAGGATCCATAATGGTGAGAAACCCTATGAATGTGAGGAATGTGGGAAAGCCATTAGCTGTTCTCCATACCTTGTTCAACACAAAAGACTTCGTACTGGTGAGAAACCTATGAGGGTAAGGAATGTGGCAAGGCCTTCAGCACTGGTGCATAGCTTGTTCAGCATCTGAGAATTCACACTAGAGAGAAACTATATGCAGGAGAGGAATGTGGAAAGACTTTCAGTCGTGGGAATGTGGAGTCTTTCATGTGCGGCTCATTGTTCAGCATCTGAGAACTCATGCTGGCAAGAAAAACTCAAAATGCAAAAATTGTTGGTAGATTTCCAGAGATATTTTCATTTTTCTGATACAGATGCCCCTTGACTTGCAGTGGGATTCTATCAGTATAAAGCCATCATGTGTTGAAAATGTCAGACATTGAAAATGCACTTAATACAACACACATAACCTGCTGAATATCATAACTTAGCCTAGTCTGTCTGAAGCATATTCAGAACATTTATAGTAGGCTACACCTGGGAAAAGTTATCTAACACAAAGTCCATTTTATAATAAAATATTGAATATCTCATGTAATTTACCAAAAAGAGTAAAGTTTACAGTGCGGTTTCTACTGAATACATTATCAGTTCACATAATCATAAAGCCAAAGAATCAAAACTCAAACCATTGTAAGTTAGGGCCTGTCTGAATTAGAGAATTTATAATGTAATTCAGAAAATAAGGCTTCATTTGTCATTCTTGTGTTTAAAGTATTAGAATAATCATACCAGTGAACTTTTTGGGAAAGATAATAAACATTATTTAATGTTCACAATGTTGAAAGCATGAAGTTTTATACTTAGATATCAACAGGGGACCAGCATAGTTAACAAACAGGAGAGCCAGTGTGCTTACCACTATGGGGTATTGTTTTCAAAATGATGATTAATAGAACGTGCATTCTTTGCTCAGTAATCTTAGTTTCATTATTTTTCTACCTGTTAGCGAAACTTTGATCGTAAAACCCTACAGATGTAGTTAGTCTAGCAATGCCTCCCTTTGTCCAGTTTAGAACTGTAGGTGAATCTTTCTGATAAAATTTTGTAGAAGGAAAGGAACAGGAGAGGATATTCATGTGGAAATTACCTCTTAAACTGAATCAAGTTTTTGAAAGATACTCACTTTTAATGTGTGTGAAAATGTCAACAGCCTGTGATCTACACTGTCCGAAGTTAAATAGAAATTGGAAGTCAGTAATACAGTAGCAAAGCCAACTACTCCTTTAAACATTCCTTTCTTGACTTTTTTCCTATGAACATTTCAACATAGAGGAAAGTGGAAAGGAGAGCAAAATTGCCACCGTCTTTGATAACATTTTACCTGATTCATTTTTATCTCTGTTGCTTTATGAAGAGAGATGTCGCCCTCTGTTCTTGAAAGCACAGCAGTCTCCTTGTGGGGATTCTACCCTCACGACTTCATCTAAACCTAATCATCCCCCAACTGTCTCACCTTCAAATGGCATCACGTTGAGGATTGGGGCTTCAGCGTATGCATCTGGAGGAGACATACTCAGTCTGTAACATTCTTCCTTCAATAGCATTCTTCCCAAAATTAGCCAAGACTTTCTGGAGAAATGACTACTTCCAGGAATGGACAGAGGTGATTACAGGTGATTGTGGAACAGCTTGGGACAGAGAGCAATGATTCTTTAAAAAAATTAGGATCTTTTCAAAGACACAAAATAGCCAGAGATTCCCATGGGCATGGGTTGTGATGGTCTGAGTATGAAATGCAGGGTCTTAGTCCACCCGTACAGGATGGACTGGGTCCGAGGAAATGTAAGTGAGCCACTCACCTGTTCCCCAGCCTCCTGATCCTGGAGACAATCAGACGCAGCTGGGAGCCAAGTCTAGCAAGAACTCGTTTATTTCACACGTAACAGAGCCTTTTATAGCACAAAACTGCAGAGTCACTGGGGCAGGGCTAAGGACCAACCAATCACTTAAACGGTCATTTTACGGGGCGATTTCTATAGGACTAGCCATATGTCTATACACTTGTTACTAGTTTTGTTACCTCCCCTGATGTTGCATAGCCAATTAGCTTTGGTGGTAAACAACTTTGGATTTCACCCACCTTGCTTCCTCTGGGCACCATCTTTGAATTGCTTCGTGTAACTAATTTCCCCACATGAAAATTGTGATTTTTTAGTACAGGGCTCAGAAAACTAAAATATAGATTAAAAAAAAAAGACAAAAGCAGACCAGTCAAGAGAAAATCATAGCAATAGTTTGTTTGGGATATTCAAGGAATTTTACTTGTTGTCTTTCCAAAGGACCAAAGATAACATGTGCTTGCAAGAGTGATGAGAAAGCCCAAACTTTAGCAAAAAAAAAAAAAAAAAAAAAAAAAGGCGAATAGCTAAAACAACACCTGAACACCTGGTGAAGTCTTACCTTCACCACAACCGTGCTTCTGCTCATCCCAAGAATGAATAGACATTAAAAATCAGTTTAATACACAGTCTCTTCGCTGACCTCAACAGGATAAAGCTAGAAAAAAAAAGAGCAGGCTGGCGCTGCGGCTCACTAGGCTAATCCTCTGCCTGCAGCGCCAGCACCCTAGGCTCTAGTCCTGGTTGAGGTGCTGGGTTCTAGTCCCGGTTGCTCTTCCAATCCAGCTCTCTGCTGTGGCCCAGGAGTGCAGTGGAGGGTGGCCCAGGTCCTTGGGCCCTGCACCTGCATGGGAGACCAGGAGGAAGCACCCGGCTCCTGGCTTTGGATCGGCACAGCACTGGCCGTAGCGGCCATTTGGTGAGTGAAGCAACAGAAGGAAGACCTTTCTCTCTGTCTCTCTGTAACTCTGCCTGTCAGAAAGAAAGAAAGAAAGAAAGAAAGAAAGAAAGAAAGAAAGAGAGAGAGAGAAGAGAGAGAAGAGAGAAGAGAGAGAGAAAGAAAGAAAGAGAGAAAGAAAGAAAAAAGAAAAGGAAAAGAAAGAAAGAAAAAGAAAAAAAGAGCAAAGGGAAAACTGGAAAACTCATAACTTTGTAAAAATTAAATAACATAATCAGTATATCAAAGAAAAACATCACAAAAGAAGCCATAAAATAGAGGTAAAATGAAAATACAACCTACCAAAATGTACGGGATGTGGTCAAAGCAGTCCTAAAAGGCAATTTTACAGATATCAAGCTTGTATTAAGCAAGAAGAAAGACCTCAGATCAGAAATCTCACTCTGGGGCTGTTTGACATGGCAGTTAGGATCATGCTTGGGGCACCCACATCCCGTTTTTGTGCACCTGGGTCGGGTTCCAGCCCCTCTCCTGATTCAACAGTCTGCTAATGCATAGCGCAGGAGGCAGCTGGTGATGGCTCACGTACTTGGGGACCTGCCCTCCATGTGGGAGGCCTGGAAGAAGCTCCCAGCTCCCAGCTCTGACCTGACTCAGCTCTGCTTGTTGCGGGTATTTGGGGAATAAATCAGCAGACGGGCACTCTTGCTCTTTTTCTCTTTTTCAAATAATTTTTTAAAAAGTTGTATCTAACTTTACAACTTAAAGAACTAGTAAAAGAAAAACAAACTGAAACCCAAAACTAGGGCAGGCATTTAGCTTGGCAGCTAAGATACCATTTGGGCTGCCTGCATCCCATACTGGAGTACCTGATCTGCGTCTCAGTTCCACTTCTGATCCGGCTTCCTGCTAATGCACACCCTGGGAGGCAGCCAGGGATAGTTCAAGTAGTTGAGTCCCTGATATTCACGAGAGAGACATGGATTGAGCTCCCAAATGTTGGTGTTAGCCTGACCCAGGCCTGGCTGTTGCAGTCATTTGAGGAGTGAACAAGTAGATTGAAAATCTCTATCTCTTTTTCAAATAAAATTTAAAAAAGCCAAAGCTAGTAGGAGGAAGGGAGGAATAAAGACATTAGAGATACCTAGAGAACAGAAAAACAACATAGAGTCAGCAAAACCAAAGTCAGTGGTTCAAAAAGATGAACAACGCCTGCGCCGCGGCTCACTAGGCTAATCCTCCACCTTGCAGCGCCTGCACAGCGGGTTCTAGTCCCGGTCGGGGTGCCGGATTCTGTCCCGGTTGCCCCTCTTCCAGGCCAGCTCTCTGCTGTGGCCAGGGAGTGCAGTGGAGGATGGCCCAAGTGCTTGGGCCCTGCACCCCATGGGAGACCAGGAGAAGTACCTGGCTCCTGCCATCGGATCAGCGCGGTGCGCCGGCCGCAGCGTGCCGGCCCCGGCGGCCATTGGAGGGTGAACCAACGGCAAAAGGAAAACCTTTCTCTCTGTCTTTCTCTCTCACTGTCCACTCTGCCTTTCAAAAAAAAAAAAAAAAAAAAAGATGAACAACTATAACTAAACTTTAGCTATTTTTACCAAGGAAAAAGAGAGAAAAACAAATTACTAAAACAATTAGAAACAAGAGCAGGGACTATTACTGATTTTACAGAAATAAAAACCATTACAAGAGGGGCCAGCATTGTGTTGTAGCAGGTAAAGTCACTGCACCTAGGAAAAGCAGCAGAAGTCGGAGCAACGGCTGAAGGCCTTCCCACATTCACTGCCCCTCAAAGGGCTGTTCGGGGAGAGTTTCCCACAATCATTGCCCTGGGAAGGCCTTTCTCCAGCGTGAACTCTCCGGTGTTTAATCAGGCTGGGGTTGCCGGCAAAGGGTTTCCCAGGAGACTCACACTCACAGCATCCATCGGGTTTTACTCTGTTATGAACACTCTGGTGTTGAATGAGATGAGTGGCATGGCTAAAACTATTCCACATCTCTGCGCGCGCGTAAGATCTTTCGTCTGATTCTCTGATGCCCAGCAGGTGTGAATCTGCGCCCAGAATCACGGCGCTCGTTATGCCCTGTGCAGTGTGCAAATCTCCCCCGGCTTCAGTGCTCTTGTCCACACCGGGCGTGAAAGTCTCCCGTGGCCCCCAAGGCCTTCCCACCCTCCCCACCCTCCCTAGGTGTGCAAAGCTTCTCTGATGTGTTCTCTCTGTAGGTTCCCACCGGCCAGGCCTCGTCTCCTCCCTTCCAAGGGCTTGCTCACCTGCTGCTGCACCTGCTGCTGTGGCAGTTTTACACTGAACTCAGATCTGCTCCCAGATGCTTCAACACACACACGGTTTGTGCCCGGGATATGAGGCCTGATGTGCAGCCAAGTGTGAAATGTCTTTCACACACACGTCACAGGGGTAGGTTTCCTGGGTGGACACAGCTGCGTTGGGATTCCTGTCCTGTGACACTCCTTCTACAGAGACACTTGGCTGAGAAGGTAACTCCTCACCCTCTGATCCACAGTGACGACCTGAAAGCAGAGAAATGCCGGCCAAGTTCACGTAAACTCTGATAACAGCAAACGGCCCCATCGCATGTGCCCACCTGACCCAGGGATGACTTCACGGGATTGTTGGAAACATACGAAACCTTGGGTAATGGTAAGGAGTGGTCCACATGGCAGTGCTGGCCTGGCCGGATCACAAACTGGGAAAGCCCAAGAACACAAGGATGGGGTTCAGTGCTGGGTGGTGAGACAGGATCTCCAGCTCATGTCCCTACCGAGACCTTTAAGCGGGGACTTGCCTACAGCAGGAGTGTCCAGACCCATGAAAATCTTGTTGCAGCCGAGCTCTATACCAGAACTTCTAGGCAACGTGTGCATCTGATGACACCTGCAGCGTAGGCCACCGTGGGCAAGTGCCACAGCAGAAGCTGTGGAGTCGGCCTGAGGCCACGAGGGTGGAGCACGGGCAGAGATGACCATGGGCAAGGCGTCACGGTGAGAGGGGCACACTTGGCGTTCTCTGGGTGGTCCTGAGCAGGAAGCTGGCGGTAATGAATCACAAGACTCCCACCTTTGTCGGGACAGAAAATGCAGCGACTATCTCAGGTGACGACTACAACTTTCACACGGTCACACACCCTTGCACCATTGGGCTCTTTTGTTTTATTTTATTTCATCTTCTTCAAAAATCAATGCAATTTATTTTTAATTTCTAATTGACAACATCACGTGAAGGGATCATGTACAACATGGTTTTGCAATACGTGCGGGTTGTGGAATGGCTAAAGCGATCTAGTTCATATATGTCTTATCTCACATAGTTACGGTCTTTGTGGTCAGAACACCTACAATCTACTTTCTTGACATGCTCCAAGAACACAGTGTGCTGTTGTTATCTATGGAAAACAGAGTTCTTCAAGTCCTTCACCTGCCTAACTGAAATTCTGGAGCCTTTGATCAGCACTTCCTCTCTCCGCCCGCTTCCCACCGCGGCCCCTGCACCTGCCCGGCCACCGTTCTGCACCCTGCCCCTGCCCGGCCAGCGTTTGCAGATTCCACCTGTTGTGGACGACAGCCCTTTATCAAATGTATTTTGCAAATATTTCTTTACGCTCTGAGGCTTGACTTCTTATCCTGTTGACGGTGTCTTTGGCAAAGTGGAAGTTTTTCATTTTAATGGAGTCCAATTTAGTAATTGTTTCTTTCTTGGATCATGCCTTTGTGTTAACTGGTAAAAAGTCCTAGCCAAACCCAAGGCCATCTAGATTTTTTTCTGTGCTATCTTCTGGGAGTTTTATAGATTTGCATTTTACATTTATTATAATGCACTGAGATAGTATTTTTTTAAAAGATTTACTTATTTATTTGAGAGGCAGAGTTACAGACAGAGAGAGGGAGAAAGAGAAAGAGTGCGCATGAGCGATCTTCCATCCACTGGTTCACTCCCCAAATGGCTGAAATAGCTGAAGATGGGCTGACCTGAAGCCAGGAGCCAGGCGCTTCTTCTGGCTCTCCCACGTGGGTGCAGGGGCCCAAGCACTCGGGCCATCCTGTGCTGCTTTCCCAAGTCATTAACAGGGAGCTGGATGGGAAGAGGAGCAGCCAGGACACAAACCCGTGCCTATACGGTATGCTGGTGCTGCAGGCGGGTGGAGGCTTAACCTACTAAGCCACAGCGCCAGGCCCTCAGCTAATTTTTGTGAAGAGTGTAAGGTCTGTGTCCAGAGTATTTTGGTATTTTTTGTCCAGTAACTCCATCATTTCTTGAAAAGATGCTGCTTTTTCCATCAAGCTGCCTTTGCTCATTTGTCAAAAATTAGTTGACTGCGGACGCATCCATGAAGGATCAGAGTGTTCTTGTCACTGGGTACAGGGCCGTCTAAGGATGGCAGATTCTCACCATGCACAGCTTCACTCTCCCTGATTCTAGCCACTCTTAGAAAACACTCTGCTATGTTCTGTTTCAAGGCTAAGTCCTTGGCTTCCCCTCTCCCCCATGCAAGCAGCTGGGGCCGAGCAAGCCAGTCAGAGAGAGGCTCATCTCTGCACCTGCAGCCTCTCCCGAGGGCCCAGCTGCAACGCCGTCGCAAGCTCGGCGCCTGGCTGAGCAGTCTGGGACTGTATCAGAGCCACCCGCAGATGCGCTGTCCTGCCGCATCTTCCGGGAAACCAGCCCCCTTCTCTGCACCGCTAACCCAGACGTCCTCAGCAAGCAGGCGGTCGGTCCTGCTTCAGGCTGCTGATCTGCTGTGGTCCTCGTCTATTAACAGATTAAACTGCCTCGCTCCTTCACCCCCAGACCTTGCCCTCGTTATATTTTTTTCAGATTTATTTATTTTTATTTGAAAATCAGTTACAGAGAGGCAGAGGGGGAGGGGTGATTTTCCATTCACTGGTTCACTCCCCAAATGGCCAGGTCACCACCATGCGCTCTTGAGTTTGTCCTTGAGTTAGGGGAGGAAGAGGAGTGGCAGAGTTAAGGTTTTGAACCACAGTGGAAAATAATGTGAGGACGAGGAAGCAGAGGACTCCCAGGAGAGGCAAGGTGAGAGGACAAGAAGTAGCGTTTCTCCTAGGAGAGAGGTTTAGACAGCGCGGGGGGACGACCTTGAACCCAGCCTGCCGCTGCCTCCACAGCTCTCCAGCAAGGAACTTCAGGGTCAGCCCCTGGAGTGGGACTGGGATGGCTGCGGGCACTCTGGCCCCGCTGCATTTCTGAGACCGGAAGTCTGAAGGTGTCTCCGCTCGTGAAGGGATGGGGCAGGAAAAGGAAGAGTTTGCGAGCCCCAGGATAAGGGTGGAGCCAAAGGCATCCCGGAAATGAATTCCACCGCAGGGGAAGTGAAGGAGTAACCTCTGCTGAGTCAGCCTGTCCGGTGCTTCCTGCTGCAGTTGAGAAACGACCCACCATCCTGCCTGTAGTGAGCCGCTCCGACGCCTTTGAGAAAGATGGGAAAATACTCCTCATCTCCAGGGACTGGGGATTGATGCAGCAATGGATCGGTACAAATAAACCTACTAAAGCAATGTGTGTGTGTCGGGGACAGGAGGCAGAAGCTGGCCAAGATGCCTGGAGCCCTTGGTGGAGTGCCTGGGCGCCACGCCCTCCTCTGACTCCTGTGGCTCCAGCTTCCCATCAACGCAGAACTGGAAGGCAGCAGTGACGACTCAAGTGGCGGTGTTCCTGCCACCCGTGTGAGAGGCCTGAATTGAATTCCTGGCTCCCAGCTTCAGCCCCAGACTAGCCGCAGCCATTGTCGGCATCTGAGAAGTGAATCAGCAGATGGGTGGTATCTGTCCATCTATCCATCATCTACCAATCTATCCATCTATCTACCTATCTATCCATCTACCTATCTATCCATCTATCTACCTATCATCTATCCAAGGCCCCTTTTGTCGGAGACCACACATTGCCTCCAGTTTTGAAGAGCGTTGTGCCGGTTGAGGGAGAAGCATCTTCGAAATCACTGCTTCCCAAATGCGTCCCGTGCCCATCTCCCTTGACCCCAAAGTGTGTCAGGAATGGGAACAAATCTGTCCCAAGCATGAGGACTATCAGTGACCTGGGGGCCGTGAGAGGCCAGGGAAGCTTGGGTGACTTCCCAGAGCCGTCAGAGAGAGCACGGATGGGTGGGTGAGGGAAGCGGCTGGGGCTTCACAGGTTAGTCCTTTGCCCGAGTGTTAATACCTAAACTGGAAATGAAATCCCCGCCCTGTAGACTGGAAAGACAGGGAAGCATAACCAAGAAAAGCTATGTTGGGTATTGCGGGGTTTGAGACGCATGAAAAGGGTTTTGAAAGGATGAATTGTATGGTGAATTATCTAACCCCCCATGGTGATCGTTTGTGTACCCCGTAGAATATAGTGGGTAGCAGGAGGTGAATCCCGGAGTTGGGAAAGCAGGCACAGGAAGTCATTGGTGCTCCTGTAGTTATTGTTTTTAATTCCTTCCAAGCCAGACACATGAGACCAGACCTCATCCCACTCCCTGGGATGCCCACATGCCGTGTCATAATGCCTGGTTCAAGTGCTGGCTACTCCACTTCTGATTTAGCTCCCTACTGATGCACCTGGATGCAGCAGATCATGTGGGAGACCTGGCTGGAGTCCCAAGGACCCTAGCTTCAGACTGGCCCAGACCCAGCTGTTGTGGGCCTTTAGGGAGGGAACCAGTGGATAGAAGATCTCTCTCTCCCTTTCAAATAAAATAAATCATTTTTTTTAAAGTGGACATTCTTTGGGGATGATGCTGTGGAAGATGGCTCAAGTCCTTGGGCCCCTGCACCCAGGTGGGAGACCAGGAAGAAGCTCCTGGCTCCTGGCTTTGGACTGGCCCAGCCCCAGCCTTCACGGCCATTTGAGGATTGAACCAGTAGATGAAGACCTCTCTCTCTCTGTTTCTCTGTCTCTCTCTCTCTCCCTATTTCTATAACTCCGCCTTTCAAATAATTACGTAAATCTTAAACTAACTAAACAGATGTTGTCACCTTCAGAGCCGTCACTGTTAAAGCTGTCTGTTCCATTCTGGCTCATGCCTCAATTTTTGGTTTCAAGGTGAGGGGACACAGCTCAGTCCCAGTTGCCATCCATAGATCGGATTATTTTTGCACATCCATGGCACAGCTGGTCAGTCACTATCTAGCCGAAACCAGCTCAGGCCAGCTTGGTGGTGAAACCTCTGAAAACAACTTAAACAGTGGTTTACAGGTGGGCATTTTGCATAGCAATCAAGACACCCAGCTCCACTTCTGATTCCAGCCAATTCCAACTTCCCGCTAATGAACTCTGTGAGACAGCAGGGCCTGGTGAGCAGCTGGGTCTGTTCCACCCCCTTGAACGACCCAGGTCAGTTTCAGGCTCCTGGCTTGGCCCAGCCCTTGCATCTGGGGGGTAAGCCAGCCAACACATGGAAGATTTCGCTTTCTGTCTATCCCGGTCTCTCTGTCTTTCAAAATAAAATGAAAATAAATTTAAAAAAATTAATGTGAGATTTTATTTAAAAAGACAATTGCAGGGGCTGGCGCTGTGGCATAGCAGGTAAAGCCGCTGCCTGCAGTGCTGGCATCCCATACGGGTGCCAGTTCAAGTCCTGGCTGCTCCTCTTTCGATCTAGCTCTCTGCTGTGGCCTGAGAAAACGGTAGAAAATGACCCAAGTCCTTGGGCCCCTGCACCCACGTGGAGACCTGGAAGGAGCTCCTGGATCCTGGCTTTCAACCAGCCCAGCTCTGGCCGTTGTGGCTAGTTAGGGAGTGAACCAGTGGATGGAAGACTTCTCTCTTTCTGCCTCTGCCTCTCTGTAACTCTGCCTTTCAAATAAATAAATAAATAATTTTTAAAAGATTTTATTTATTTATTTGAGAGGTAGAGTTACAGACAGTGAGAGGGAGAGACAGAGAGAAAGGTCTTCCTTCTGTTGGTTCACTCCCCAAATGGCTGTTATGGCCAGCACTGGGCTGGTTGAAAGCCAGGAGCCAGGAGCTTCTTCCAGGTCTCCACGTGGGTGCAGGGGCCCAAGCACTTGGGCCATCTTCTACTGCTTTCCCAGGCCACAGCAGAGAGCTGGATTGGAAGAGGAGCGGCCGAGACTAGAACTGGTGCCCATATGGGATGCCGGTGCCATAGGCAGAGGATTAACCCACTGTGCCACGGTGCCGGCCCCTAAATAAATCTTAAAAAAAAAAAAAGGCAATTTCAGTAGACAGGACATTCAAGTCATAAGATCTAGAAGCATCTGAAAAGGCTGGGGGTGGGGTGGAAGGCATTTCTCTTCCCGAGAGGAATAAATAAGGCCAGAAAGAACTGCTTTCGGGGTGGGGTGAGCAGGTGCGATCATCTGCACAGGAAGTGTTTTTCTTTGCAGTCCACTGCTCCTCAGAAGGGGACGTTGCCAAGGCTGTTCTGCATTCTGTATTGCTGAAGCTCAAGGATGCATTCAAGTTCAAGGGCCTGGAGGGAGGACAGAAGCCTGAATAAACTTTGGTCAAATCATGTTAGCTCATTTTTTGGGGTTATATTCTTTTCTGTTAATTTGTAGATTCATATCATTATTTGAATTTCATTTATGGGTGGTTTATTTTGTGAGACCTTTGATATACGGGGAAAATATTCATAATACTACTAAGCATTAATTTCTTAATTAATTGTAATTTCCCACCAAATGTTGAAACTGTTGATTGTTTTCCCCTCATTGTTGGGGATGAAAGGTTTGACTGTAGGACTCCAAAAGCGGTGTCCTCTTGTGACGACCCCAGAAACACAGACTCCAGACCAGACGATGCAATAGAACAGGAGGTAATTTTATTTCATTTGCGCAAATGGGCCCCCTACTGCTGCAAGCAGCAAGCAAGTGAGAGGAGCCCCGAGCAGCTATCTCACACAGCTTTTAAAGGGCAAAACCACAAAATTAACATATTATAGGCTGGCGTAAGTTCATTGGATAATTTTCAGTAGCGGCCTTGCAGCTTTCTTTGTTAACCTTGAGCAAGCGTAGGGAAGGGGCTTATCTACAAGGCAGGTGTTCTGTGTATCTCTGGTTAGTAGCTGACTGCTTTCTCTGTGAACTGGTTTACTCCCCATTTCCCAAGGCCATCTCTGGAACAGTTTGTCTCAGGAGCCCCATTTTTTTATGGTGGCTCTTGGCTCCTTTCATTCCCCCATTTTCTCTTTGAACTAATTTTAATCCTAAAATTGTGTGCCGTTAATGAGGGGTTTTAATACGGTCACTGGTGGCCAGGGCTTGATACTGTTGTGTGAGGACTAATGCCAATGATCAGCAAGCCAGGCCTTAGCATGTGGGCCCATGGCCAGCCATGGGTCTCCACATTTTTTTCTTTTTTTTTATTAAATTGAGAATGGCCTCTGTCTTGGGTTGCCCTCAGTCATCTCTGTCCTTACCCGTCATCGGTAACTCTGGCAGCTTGGCCTAGAGCCCTGTCTTAGGTTGGTACAGGATGCTGAGCGTCTTACCCGTCTTTGAGTACCATTCCAGCCCAACATTAGGTGAGAGATGAAACATACAGCCAAATATTAATTATTTTGATTACAAAGGAGGCTTGGTACAAAGTTTTAAATGATGAATCTCAGTCCATTTATACTATAGGGAAGTCAGCATAAAATGCAGAACACACGGAAGACATCCCATACAAAGTGGGAAAAGCGGTAGCAGTCCAGCCAACATTAATAACCAATGAATTCATTGAAACCCTTCAAATGAATAGTGGGTTAGTAATAAACATATGTTGCATTTTACTCTTAAGTTTATCAATAACAGACTCTATATATGGCACATTGTTAGTAATGTTAAAGCAATATCCCCCAGGTACAGGTTTACAACTTATATGATTTTTTTAACAGCGAGTAATTGTTAGCTGCATGGCTTAAAAGCACTCCTGAGTGAACTTGATTTAATTCTTTGGCTATATTGGATAGCACAGTAGCAGTAAGATTGATTGCTTTGGTCACCAAACATGTAAGCCTTTATAGTCCACGATTATTTCCAAAAGCCAGTCCAGGAACACTTACTACTGATGCAGCCATGGCAAGGGCAGTGTCCTCTCCTATTAGGATGACGTTGTTATTGTAGTCTTTAAGTAAAGCACGCCACTGACGTGCTCTATCCGCTGCTGTAAATACAGATGTTAGCATCAGGGCCACACGGCCCAGGGAGCAATTGCAGAAAGGCATGTTGGTTACATGGAAAAACCCATCCCTTAGGAGCCCTTGTCCCATACCAGTACTGGATCAGGTCCATTCCATTGATTGGTGATAGGATCCCTTTATTTCACCACTGCTCTTTTTACAGCTGTTTTTAAGCAGTTAGAATTTAACAGAGACATCAAGAGAACATAATAGATTACTTTAACTCATTGCTTTAACAGAGGATCAGATTTTGATTTTATGTTAAAGAAAATAACCAAAGATTTTTTTTTATAACATTTTGTGACTTTTTCACACCTTCTGTAACTTGCTCAAACTTTTCTCTTCTCCCCCCCCCTTTTTTATTCCAGTATAAACCAGCCATTAAGATAAACAATTTTTATAAATTATATTTTTTTTATTTAAAAGTATTTTTTTTAACTTTTTTATTAAGAACACGCTTTTATGTTTGTGACCTTTTACATCAAAATGATGGTATCTGGGACTGTAGCAGTCAATGGGAGAGTAATTTTGTTTAATTTCCTGTAATCCACAGTCATTTTTCAGGTTTCATCTGATTTTTTAACATGTCAAATTAGATAATTCCTTTTAGTGATTATGGGAATTATCACTCCAGCACTAAGATAATTTTTTTATTGTTTTAAATTTTTTTTTATGTCCACCTGGAATTTTGTATTGTTTACACTGAATAACCTTAGTTGGCCCTGGCAGCAGTACAGGAGCTTGATATAATTTTTTACCACTACCTAGCAGTTTGACTCTAAAGGGCAGTATTTTTTTTTAATTTATATTTATTCTGTACTTATTTTTTTTAATTGCTTACACATGTATCAGTATGCAGATAACAAAATCCATTTTCACCTCCCCAAAGCCTATAGTTCATCCCCCTTTTCCACCGGCACTGAT